TTTTTTTTTTTTTTAATTCTAATTTTAGTCTAGTTTTAGATTTCGCGCTGTTTCCAACCCGCCATTTTTTAAATTAATTCCCTGCATTTGTCGAATAAAACGCAAGAAATTACTTGCGTTTCGTAAAATGCTGTTATAATAAAGCAAGTAAAAACAAAAAAAAAAATTAGTTGACTGGCGTTTGACGCAAACGCAAAAATAAAATTGCAGGTAATGATTCTTCTTTTTGTAGTGTAAGTCTGTCCTAATATCTATTCTATCTTAAGTGCTGCCTTTTATTTTCTTTTCTCATACATGTATTTAAGGATGTGAGTGAGATCATCTCCTTTTTGTCCAAAGGTAGTATGCTGTTTGATGACTGGAAGCGAATGTGTACGTTAAATTGGCAGTTAAGGAATAAATGTTAGATGATCCTTCAATAAGCTTTTATTATTTATGCTATAGAAGAAATATTTCTTGCTTGATTTAGGCATTTATTGTTTACTACTTCACTATCTCTACACCTGAAATAAAAAAAATGAAGCTTACAATAGAAAATATAAAGTTTTAGCAGAAAAATATTTTCTATCAAGAGAAGCCAGTCTGCAAAGCAGGAATACCCAGGTTCAGGCCATTCAGACTCCAATATTGGAGAATTTATGGTCCGGAGACAGTGTCATATGCACAACTGACCATAATGATATTTCAGATGTTGATGCTACTTCTGTGAACAAGTTTAACAATGTTAGTCTATCTAGTAATCCTGTGGTTTCCTTCTGTTTCTTCTTCATGGTGCAGTAAGAATATGGGAAAGGAAAAAAAAAGGAGCTAAAGAAAAAGAAAACAGAATATGCAATGTAGCTAATTTCCATTAGCTTATGTATCTTCAGCAACTACATAGCGATCAGAAAAGCAATTCTCTTCTCTCTTTTGAAATGCATTCTCAGCATAGGTAATGTTATCCAATTTGTCACCATTCCCTTTCCTCTTCATGATTTTGGGAATCAATTGAGTTACTTCTTTGGCCTCTGACATTGTTTCCCTTTGTTTATCTGTGCAAAACAAACAGCACTAAACTTTCAGGCATTTGCAGCTAATACCTGCACCAGGGATAACATTTCCCTCACATTAATCAGTTATTCAATTGGATGCTCAAGATTTAGTCTCATTAGCCTATATAGTTATCACATGTATAATTTATTTTCCAGAAAAAATGTTTAAACTTGAATGTTACACAAAAATGGAGCATGTGAGTTATTATTATCAGTTGCTAAGTTTAATTTAGCAAACTGAGCCACCAAATGAAGCATCTAATAGGATGAGCAATATAAAAGCAGATTCCTCCATGAACAAATGCATGCCCTCATAATAGCATTCATTTCAGAAAGTTACACATGGAAGCGACTGCATGATTGCTTGCTACATGCTTTTTCTTTCCTAGTTTTTTTTCACTGAAATCCATTCAGTGCTTTTAGCCTACCTCAAGTCTGTATATTTGATGCCTTCACCTCTTGATGATTGGATCCATCTTCATCGTGCTTATCATCATCATCATCATCTTGATTATCCCTTTCGAGGACAACTTTGATGCTCTCACTAGCTTTAGGAACGTATCCAAATCCTTTGCATAAAAAACCCGATACTGTCTCATACTGATGTTCCTATAGAACAGCATGGTGAACAAAGAAATGAGAATAGAGATATGAAATTTACAAGTTAAGGACACTTTGATAGTTATTTACAATGTGAGGCTAACTGAGCCTCTACTTCAAAATGAATTCAATACCACATTCCGCTTTTAACTATTTACTTTATCCTCCCCTTTTTCTTTTTCATTTTTTTTTTCAGTTTTTCATTCTTTTTCAAGCAGTGGTCACTTAATCTTTAAGGCATAATAATCCCACAATGGTCACAATAAACAGAATTTCCCTTGCAACTGCGATAAAAAATATCAAGTTTATAAGCATGCTTGTTTTTAAGATTCCTATGATCAACTATGTGACAGAAATTAAATTTTAATGAGCCTGTGGAAATGGCAGGAGAAGTGTACAATACAGAAATAATCAAATGTAGAAACGTTCCTAATAACTGAGTTTTTAGCTTTAAAGTTCAAATACTCCATTCGGTGCTCTATACACCATAACAACAAAAACCAATAATAGGGTGGAATTATATACCTCTGGCATTTTGGTATTCAAGTCCTCAGATGGCAAATAAATAGATGAATTGGCCTCAACATCATATACTCCCTCGCTCTCATTACAATATAGCCAATTTTCTTCTGGATCTCCTCCTGTTAATATGATTAGCAACAAATGCATCTAATAAGTATCACTGGAGAATCATTATATATATATATATATAACACATATCACTTAAGAATCAGGCGGAGCTCAATCTTGTAATGCTAATTGATATGAGACCTATAGAGTAAAGAAATATCTACATGACATGAGAAGTGACATGAAATTTTTTGGTCACATGAAAAATGCAGACAAAATACATGACAGACTAAAAGAGACCAGAAACCGGAAATAAACAGAATCTAGATCAATTGATCTGTAGAAAATTGGCAGCACATGTACAATACCAATTTGTTTTGAACTTCATCAACAAGTTTTCTTAGCATCTCCTTGCTGAGGAATAATAAAATGCAATATCTAAAGTTATCTATATAATTAAAAGACTTGCCTCCAATAACAGACTCAATAATAGAACATTAAGGTTATTAATGATGTAATTAGGCCTACCTTTGAATCATTTTCATCAAAGATTTCTCCATCAATCTCCTCAACCACATCTTCTAAGGTTACTATCTGCTCCATCAAAAAATGAGTACATAAATATATAA